TTTATATAGAATAACTAAAATGATTTATTTTTAAAAATTGTCAGGTGTCTCTATACTTTTTACCAGTGAGTGTAGATAGCGATTGTTAGATAAAGAACACATGACAAATAATTTTACAAATTGCTCTGGACTTACAATGGTTTACCATATCCTGGTATAGTAATAAAACAATGAACTATTTAATTTTTCATGCTATAAATGGAAACAATGGGGGGAATAAATGAACTATTTAATTAGACATTTTCATGGGTAGTAATAACAAATAATAATGAACTCATTATTTTTTATCTTTAATTCTGTGTTTTTGCTAAGTTCAATAGTTGTAGCTTCATTTAATCCTGGAGTCCGTTGTTTTCATGAAATGGTTCATATTGGAGATAAGCTTTTTTTTCTTGGGGGTTATAATAATAATCACTTAAAGGACTTTTTTTATTTGGATTTATCTATTTCTTTTCATAAAGATATTCCACCATGGTATAATCTTGATTTTCGTGAAATTCCAATCGGCGTTTCTAAGGCAGCAGCAAGTTTCGGTGGTTTTGATGGTGCAACGATTTTTCTAATGGGCGGAGAAAGAAGCGATTCAGGAAGTCATTATATTTATATGTTTAATACCAAATCTTTTACTTGGGAAGGTTTTTCATCCGACATTAGTATTATTGGACGGTTTTGGGATACAAAAGGAGTTACTAACGATAAAGGAAGAATATATTTTTATGGTGGATTGTCATCTGGCTGTAATAGGCTACAGATTTTAGATCCCTTAAATTCTTCAAAAATGGATCATTATACATGGCCTAAAAGTCCTCTACGTTATGGACATTCTGTCACATTATTATCTAATGGAGTTATTGTTATCATTGGAGGACATGTACATGTTAATGATGAAAATGGGCTTAATAAAGTAAGTTGTATTTATATTTGTATATAATTATTATTAGAATTTAATTTTACGAAATGCTTGTAATTATTATACCTAGATTTTGTTTTATGATACTTATAAAAACACTATGGGATATTTGGTAAATTTTAAATATTTAAAATATATTTATTAAGTTCAATATTAATATTAATAATCATTATTCCTTTCTAGGTTGCTCAAGGAATTTCACTTTCAGAACGTGAACGCCATACAGCAGTATTAAGTAAATTTGAATTTTTAAATATGAATGCTTATAAATTTCTATAATATAATTATATTCATATTAATATTTTATTTTTTTTTTAACATTAATTGTTTAATAGCAAATGATGGCAGAATAATTGTCTATGGTGAAATTAAAAAGAATTCTTTTGATCCTGATTTAGTAGTCTTGGATACTAACTCTTTTGAATGGTCAACTCCAGAAATTGATGCAATTAATAATCCGCCTCCATTACATGGTCATTCTGCTAATATAGTTGATAACTATATGATTTTAGCATTTGGTAAATGCATAATTTAATTTGTTTTTTATCATTTTTTTTATCATTTTTTTATCTTTTAATTGTAAAAGTGACACATGTATCTTTCTGTTAGGTAAATTTAAAATGATTAACGATGAAGATTACAGCCGACACACTTATTTAATGGATGTAAGAAATTATACTTGGGTAGCATATTTTCATCCAGAAAGAAATGTCGTAACTATCACACAAGTAAAAGTGATAACAACTTGTACCGTTAGTCAATTAATTCAAGATATTTCTGATTTTTTATTAACAGTTTTAAAATGGATTTTCCATTTAATCGTTGGATTCATTCTCTTGTTTCTTTTTTTTGTGTTTCTGGGATGGTTTAACGAACCAAATAGTAAGAATACACGTATAGAGAATGCAAGGTAGTAAATTAGTGATCCGATCCTATATTTATATAGCTGAATTTGTAGTTTTTATTTTCAAAATTATTTATTTGTCTCTTAAATTGTATCTATTATATTTCTTTCGGATAATTATGGAATTTTTATTTATTGAATTGAGATAAAATTGAAAAATATAATTTAATAGAAATAAATTTTAAAAGAAAATAAACGGCTATTTAAAGAATAACATTAGATTGAAAGCAATCAAATGAATTGTGAATAGCTAAAATGAAGAAATATGTGGAAATGAGTTTTTGGGTTAGATTTTCGCTAAAATAAAGAGAATAACAAAATAATTGAAAAATCATTCCTTTTGATATAAAATATTTGCTAGATTTAACTGGTGGTTTAGGAACTTCAGGGTTCAGGAACTTCAGTTATTATTGAAACTACTGTTGTTGTTAAGATATTTGTTATCGTTGTTGCCATTCTATCTGTTGTTGTTACTTAATTAATCGTTGTTAATACATTAGTCGTTGTTATTACTTCTGTTTTAGTAATAATACTTTTGAATCGCAGGGGTATTTTATTTTTTTTTTCGAATGAAAATCCGTTATCCAAGTATAATTCTTTACATCCATCAGATAGATATTCCGATAATATTTCCCAGATTAATACCTAAATTTAAATTTTAATTCTAATAGATAGATAATAGACCGATTTTTTTTTTTAAAAAAAAGCATTTACCACCAACAAGATTAGCAATATGACCAAATAATGATGGAAGACTATTAATCGCATTAACTTTTAGGGTTGACCATTTAAAAGGTTGAAATCAGGGTCAAGATAATTTTTAGTTCCACCATAAGCTATTATTCTGCTATCATTTGCTATCAAACAATTAAACAGAATAAAAGTATTAATATTAATAATATAATTGTAAAATTTTTAAACAATTGTATTAGAAGAAAAAATTAAATTTTACTTAATAAAGTACAGCTTTATGATAAACACGATCTGAAAGTTTAATCCCTTGTGTATCTAAAAAATAATATTTTTTATGATTATTATAAACACTACGTGAGTTAAAGAAATTATATCATATAAATTATTATAAATAAATAATTCACCTCATAAAGTTCATCTCCGCCATCAACATATCCTCTAATGAAAACAATATTCCATTAGATAGCAATGCAATAGTATGCCCTTAACGACCACTTTGTGAATCGGGAGAAGGACCTGTTCCCATGATAATCTTAAAGTATCCAAAATGGATAATTTATTGGAGCAATTTCCAGATAGTCACCATAAAGGTATATTTGCTATTACGATCAAAGACCCCTTGTATGTCTACATGCCACTTGGGGACTATTATCCAAATAAAAGATTTAGTATTATGAATAAACATAATTAATTTCTTTTTCATTTCTTTCTATACCAACTAAGTTATCAATTGCGGCTGCTTTATAAACTCCAAAAAGGTATTTCACGAAAATCAAGATTATACCATGGTTGGTGATCTTTATGAAATGAATTTGATAAATTCAAACAAATCCGAATAAAGCAAGCTATCTAAGGGACCATTGTTATATCCTCCAAATATATAAATCTTATTCTCTGAACTATAATAATTCCGAACTTTAGGTTCAAATGAAGCATTTGTTATTGAACATTGTGAAAATACAAAAAAAAAAAAAAGGTAGAAAAATCATTATGTGAAAAAAGCTTGCAAGATCGTTGATTTACATTATTTAATAAATTTTATACCTTCAGAACTAAATCAATAATTTCTTATTAGATAATTAGAATTGTTATAAACATTTATTTCTCTTCAACATATCAATACATTAACACCACCACTGTTTTTCCCATTCTAAGACAAATCAGTAAAGGTTTTAAAAACTTTGGAGGACGAGAGGGAGGGTTAAACGTTTAAACCCGTATATTATAAGAGTGTCGTTATTTTCAAGTTCACCAATATATCCCATTTGTTAAAATACTAGCTGGAGATTCACTATTTGGTGGAAAAAGATTATTAGTTATACTTAAAATTTTGCAATTGAAGAAGTATCCAATGTATTCATTTCAATTGTAAACTTTTCCAGTAAGTGTTGTTAAATTAGTGAGATTAAATCCATCAAATATATACCCTAATCTTCAATTACTTCTGTCTTTCGTTGTTTGATCTGATAGGAAAATTGTTTCCAGTAGAATTATATGTATAAATTTAGTTTGAAATATCATATTTTTATTTTAGAAATATTGTAGAATTATCTAAACTTCAATAGCCCACGTCTAGTAATAGTAACACAAATCATGTAATATTGACTGGCATTTGACAAAGAAATTATTGGATTATATCAAGCACCTAACTCATTTGAAGACATGGAACAATGGGCTTTCAGGCTCAAAATACAAATGAAGAAATATCAACTTTATCAGTACTACATAAAAGAAAACCGGATATTTAAAAAACATATACTGTATGTCCTTTTTGCGAAAGTACCAAAGAGACAAATATACATATATTTACTTGTACTGTACTAACAGAAGAAAATTACTTGACATCTCAAATAAAAGAAAATAATTCTAAACTCAGAAATTTTCAATAAAGAAATAATTAGAGAATATCCAGCTCTCAAATATTGGTTCCCACATATAATTTTAAATACAGATAATATTACTTTCATATATTCGATCAAAGGTTACATTTCTAAATCATTTGTGCAAACAATTAACAACTTGACCAGGTCACAAACATGAATAACCAAAAAAGTACAAACTTATCTGCAAGAAAAATTAAAAGAAACATAACAAAAATATTAAATTGCGAAAAGGGATGTAAAAGTCCTGGACCACCTGGTCTTAGGACAGGATGGATCAGACCTGGTCCTGTAAGACTGGTCCTAGGACCAGTTCAGGAACTAGTCTTTATATTCAAGATCAGGTCTTTATAATATATTAATTACATTGATTAACATATAAACCTAAATTATTTATTATATTTTAAGATTAATTATTTTGACCTAAATTATTTTTAATCCAACTTTTAAGATATAAAGATGCTCTAGCTATTGTAGAATTTAATCTATTTCTAATATTAGTAAGTGTATTTGAAGCTACTGACCATTATCCGGCATCTTTAAAATGAAATATAAAAGCATTATTAACAACATCATTTTTTGATCGATTGATTAATAGATGTTCACATGATATATATCTCGAATTTCTAAGATGGACCAGATGGACCAGTCCAGTACTAAAGACCAGGTCCTCTGGTCTGGACTAGAGGACCAACTCATCCATACTGTGCCAAAATTTTTGCCAATTTTTGATCATTTGACATGCGAAGACATACCGTATAAGAAACTTTTATAATCATGCTAACAAAAATGTTGTGCAGTTACAGAAAGTCATAATTATAAAAGAAAAAATTTTTATTAATAAAAACTATTATAATTATAGTTTTAACATGGGGTTTTGACCATCAGCTCTCGATTTGCAAGTGTCAATGAGTCATCCAGGGATCTTAATTAGTAATAGTCTGGAGTAGGAAGTTAGTGTATAAAATTTAATAAAGTGCCTAACAAGGGCAATTCTATAAAAAATAAAAATAATGACTTAAATTTTTTGATAGTAAGTCTATGCAAGTCAAATGTTACATACATATAGATTACTTGGGTTCTTAATTTTTACTATACAAATTTTGGACCATTCTAATGAATACTACCATCATGGGAAGTACCTCACTTATATAATAATGAATGAGGAGAAGTAATGAGCCATTTATTTTAGACATTTTCATTCCATGAATGGCAATAATAAAAAGGAGAATAAATGAACTAATTAATTTAAACATTTCTTGAATAGCAATAACAAATAATAATGAACTAACACTTATTATTTTTATTTCTGCGTTTTTGTGAAGTTAATTAACTTCATTTATTCAGATAAGCTCTTTTCTTGGGGGTGAAAATAAATGATCGCTTAATGGACTTTTTTTTCCATTTGGATTTATCTATTTCTTTTCATAAAGATACGCCACCATGGCACAATCTTGATTTTTATTAATTACAATATGCTGTTTCTAGAGTAGTAGCAAGTTTTGATTTTTAATAATGTAAAAATTTTTCTGATTAACGGATTGAGAGCCAATTTTTGGATTAATGTAGTCATTCATTCAAGACCAAACCTTTCAATTGGGGACTTTATCAAATAGATAGAAGTACTTATGAAAGCTTAAGAGTTGAATATACGAAAGGAGCGAAAATATTTTTTTATGGGGGATGATACAAGGTTTTACTATATATTTTAGATTCTGCAAGAATGATATGGGCAGCAAGGCCTTCTCCAGATTCACAGGATGGTCATTATGAACATTATCTTTTGGAATTATTGTCATCATTGGAGGATATGTTAATGCTAAAAGTGGGATTGATAAGGTAAGTTATATACATATTTGTATATAATTCTTATTACAGAAAGCTTATATATTAATAAAAGCAATTGAACTTCCATGGTAAATTTCAAATATATTGTATAAATTTATTTAGTTTAATTTTAATGATCATTGTAATTATTTATTACTTTCTAGATCACTCAATGAATTTCATTAAGTAAATTTGCATTTTTAAATATGAATGCTTATAAGTTTCTATAATTATTTCATATTAATATTTTGTTTAATAGAAGATAATGGCAGAATAATAGTTTATGGTGGAATTAAAAATGATTCTTTTGATCATGATTTAGTAGTTTTGGATGCTAACTTTCAACCTTTTAAATGGTCAATGCAATTTAATAATCATCCTCCATTATATGGATTATATGGTCATTCTGCTAATATAGTTGGAGACTATATGATTTTTTAACATTTGGTAAATGCTGTTTAGATTTTTTTTTACCTTTTTTTTGTCTCTAATCTTTGTTTAGTTAAGTTTAAAATACTTAATGATGAAATCTACAGTTGGTGCACTTATATAATGGGTGTGGAGATTATATTTAGGTATCATATTTTCATCCAAAAAGAAATGTTAACACAACTACACAAGTAACCACCACACAAGTAACCATTTAACCACCACACAAGCGATAACAATACAAGTAGTAACAATACAAGTTCCAATTTTTACCGTTCAATTAATTCAAGAATTTTTTAATTTTTTGCTAATTCATTGGTTTTCGTTTAAATCGGTATATTTATAAATCTTTTTATCTGAATTTATATTTTTATTTTCAAAATGGTGTTATTCATTATTAAAATAAATCTTTGGATAATTATGGAATTTTTATTTATTGAATTGAGATAAAATTTAAAAATATAATTTAATAGAAATAAATATGTTAAAAGAAAAATAAGCAATTATTTAAAAAATAACATTAGATTGAAGACAAATACAAATGAAATGTAAATGGCTAAAATGAAGAAATATGTAGAAATATGTTTTTGGGTTAGATTTTCACGTAAAATAAAGAAAATAACTGCACTTTCACAAAATAATTGAAAAATCATTCCTTTTGACATAAAGTATCTGTTAGATTTAACTGGTGGTTTAGGAACTTCAGGGGGTTCAGGAACTTCAGTTATTATTGAAATTTTTGTTGTTGTTAAAATATTTGTTGTCGTTGTTGTTACTTCGCTAGTCGTTATTACTACATTAGTCGTTGTTATTACTTCTGTTTTAGTGATAATATCTCTTTCGGGATAAAAATCAGCTACCCAAGTATAATTCTTTACATCCATCAGATAGATATGCCGATTATATTCCCCAGATTGTGGAGTAATACCTAAATTTAAAATATATGTAAATTTAATTCTAATAGATAGACAGATAGACTGATGTATTTTATTTTTTTTTTAAAAAAAAAAGCATTTACCAAATGCTAAAATCATATAATCTCCAACAAGATTAGCAGTATGACCAAATAATGATGGAGGGCTATTAATCGCATTAACTTCTAGAGTTGACCATTTAAAAGGTTGAAAATTGGTATCTAAAACGACTAAATCAGGGTCAAGAGGATTTTTAGTTCCACCATAAACTATTATTCTGTTATCATTTGCTATCAAACAATTGAACGGAATAAAAGTATTAATGTAATGTAATCGTAAAAAAATTTTAAACGATTGCATTAGAAAAATAAATTAAAATTTACTTAATATTGCTGTATGATAAATACGATATGAAAGTTTTATTCCTTGTGTGATCTAGAAAATAACAATGATTATTATATTAAAATATAATAAATTTATTTCTTATTAATTGAAATTTACCATAGAACTCCATTTTCTTTCATTGATATCATAAAGCAAAATCTAGATATAATTATTAAACACTACGTGAGTTAAAGAAATAATTATCATACTGTATATAAATTAATAAAAATAAACGATTCACCTCATGAAGTCCACCTCCACCATCAACATATCCTCCAATGATAACAATAATTCCATTAGATAGCAATGTAATAGTATGCCCATAACGACCACTTTGTGAATCAGGAGAAGGACCTGTTTTCCATGATAATCTTCGAGTATCTAAAATGGATAATTCATTGGAACGAATTCCAGATAACCATCCACCATAAATATATATTTTGCCATTACGATCAGTAACCCCTTGTATGTCTACATGCCACTTGGGGGTATTATCATCATTTATTAATGAGTCGTTCCAAGTAAAAGATTTAGTATTAAATGAATAAACATAATTAATTTCTTTTTCACTTCTTTCTCCACCAATTAAAAAAATTGTTGAATTATCAATTCCACCAAAACTTGCGGCTGCTTTGAAAACTCCAAACGGTATTCCATGATAACCAAGACAAAACCATGGTGGATGATCTTTATTGAATGAAATAGATAAATCTAAATAAAGCAAGCTATTTAAGGGACCACCGTTATATCCTCCCAATATATAAAGCTTATTCTCAATATATACTGAACTATGATAATTTCGAACTTGAGGTTCAAATGAAGTATTTGCTATTGAACATCGTAAGAATAAAACAAAAAGAAAAAAGTAAAAAATAGGGGAATACATTACGTACAAAAAGCCTGTCACAAGATCGTGGATAAATATTCAACAAGATTTTTCCGTAAGATGATCAACAACTTGCATAAAATATAATATCACACGTCAAATTTGAAATTTTTTTAACTGTTTCACAACTGTAATTTGTATTGATCATAGTTCAAGAAGCATCAATTACTCGCATTGAAGTTTGGCGTAGGTAGGTAAAATTGGCAGTCAAATTGTTTCTGTTTTATGTATATAATAATAAATATACTCATATTTAGAACTTTCAGACCTCTCTACTATTGTTCTCAAAGCATTAAAAAACAAAACATGCCTGCCTGCACTTATATTTGACTGGGATGATGCTGGCTTTAATGATGATCCGAGTAATCCAAATTGCCGAAATGGAGTTCCTTACCAGACTAAAGAAGCACTAATTGGGCGAATCCACGATCCCAGATGATATCGAGGAATTCACTGCAATACTTGGATAATTGTGTGATTTGCAGAGACTATACCTTGATAGTTGAAACTATTTATGCAGCTTGTTTTATAATAATATCGCAACCGAATATCTTGAAGTTTAATAATAATAAAAAATACGAATTTCTTTATATTTTCATATAATAAAGAATTTGGCCAAACCATTTTCTTTGTGCTTATTAATTCGACCGTAAAATACTCGTAATGCGGTTATTCTTTAGTACAGAACTAACCTACATCTAAATCTAATCACCAAGTTTCTATATTACACTTAAACTATCCTATGAAAAAATATTGACTAGTAGATGAATATTCATGACTGGTAAAAATTGACAATTTTAAGTTTCTTGTAATGAGAAATGTTATAACTAAGAAATAAATTTTTATTTATATAAAGAAGGCGAATTTGACCAATTTATAAAATGTTTGACTTCGCATTTGTGCCAAAAAAAAATAGTTTTAAGAATAAATTTTAAAGAAAATGGCAATTTCGAGACATACAAACGAAAAATTAATATTTAGAGATATTTCGTTTTTATTTATTTTCTGCATTCAAAAAAAAAAATAATAATAAGTAAAACTAAAACAAAAAAATCTAATATTCGGCTTTTTTTTTTTTGATTTGTGATTTTAACTTTAAAATAAACATAATCTAAACCAAACAAATAATAAATATAACAAAATTTTTTACTTGACTTTTATTTTCTTTATCACAATCAATACATTTTAACAATTCCTTAGATCAGAATTGATGCTAGAAATAGTTGATTCTTTGGATTTAAATAAATTAGTATCGATAAATTTATTATTTATCAAACATTATCGAAACATTTTACCTTTTTAAGGAAATATTCCACAATAATAATATTAAATTAATTGTAAAGATTGTTCTCTAATCGATCTTTATTATATCATTAAATTACTAATTTTTTGTTTCGATGAAGATATTAACAATTCCACAATGTTTCGGAGTCAAGCTTTAGCATTAATTCAATTATAAATTAATGGATTTCAGATTTTGATTATTTAAATCTATAATAAAAGTTTCAACATTTAATAACACTTCTCTACTAAATTGTCAATTGCATGTACATTTTTAACACTAATGTAGTAATCAAAATTTTGATATCAACTAACTCACTTTGATTAACTTATCAATCAATTTTATTAATTAGACATTATTTAAAATCAAAATCCAATTTAATTCAGATAACGATTCTCTAATTACACTATTTACTTTACAAAAAATAATTAAGATCAATGTTTCAAGTTAATTCAAATATTACATTAATGAATTATTTAGTATTTATATTAGTAAATATTTAGAATGAGATCAAAGTTTTGAACTAATTCAATACAATATTAATTCAATTAATTAGTTGATGAGAATTTATATTCATAAGTTTATTTAATATTAAATAACAATTTTCTAATCAACTGTCGATTAATTACTGTGGGTATTGAATTTTCTATCATTAATATCAAAATATTGAGTTAATTAACACTTCTTTAATCAATTTTATGAAATTGAATAAGTATTTATTTGCATAATCATGATTGTTTATTGTTAATAATAGTCATCTCCAGATGGAATGTGTGTGTTATATCAGGCATGTCAACAATATAGGAGTTTTGATAAATGGAGATACAGAGATCGATGAGTTCATTCAACAAGCTTCTTGCTTGCATAGCTATTGTTGAACAACTTCAGAATGTTTGAACCAATCACTTTCTATCAATAACATTTAATTCGAACTAATTTATTAGGAACCAACTGGATAATTTTGATTTTTACTTCACAAAGATCAGATGGCCTAACCAACAGGATCTACTAATGCTCCATCCATCTATAAAAAAGATCCTTTCAAACTTTAACTCCCGCTTGATATTGATAGCAAAGATAACCAAAACTCAAACATCTACCTTCACAAACTATTTCAACTAGTACATCATTTTCCAATTATTACTATAGCGAGTCCACCAACAGCAACCTCCTCTTCCGCAAGTAAAGGAGGATCATCCTCTAGTCAAACAAATAAAACTGATGAAGGCCCAAGAAAAACCACCAATACAATAGTAATTTCTAGCAGTGGTGGTAGTTCTTATAGAAGGTATAGCTTTTGCTTAATTTCGTTACAAAAGATTCCGATCATCAAATTGAGATGAAGTCGTATTAAAAGAAGGTCGAATGAAGATCGTTTCAAGAAGATTTTGCAACAAAAAAATTAAAATTAAAATAAAATAAAGATTACGTTTTCTATATTTGATATAGAGCATAAATTCTTCAATTTTTTTCAATAGCATAAATGTTCTCTACATTTATCATTCATCCTTAAATTTTTTTAGGCGCAAATCTCGTAATATTACGTCTATAAATTTTCCTGATGTTCTTTAATTTTTTTTTCCATTTTTTTTTCTTTATTAGGCACATTTCCAGGTAGTTTTAGTGTATTTATATATATTATTATTAATTTGGAAGGTTTTTATGACGTTTATTACGGGGTGGGGTGAATATAAAGTTGATGTATTTATTCATCGAGTATAGGCACAATATTAATTAAAATTCCTTAATAAATAATTTATTATTGAATTATTAAATTTTATATCGTTATTTAAAACATAAAATAAATTAAATTTAAACATTAATATTTCATCTGAATTACGATTTAAACTAAATTTGCAAAGAATTTTACTTTATGCCTAGCGTTAAGACTTGAATTATGTCAATAATTTTTTTTAAAACTATAAAAATAATAATGATCATTCCTGAATCAGCTAAGAATAAACTTAATTTATTATAAAATTCAATAAAAAATCATACATTTAAAATTGCATATTCTTTTTAACAAGGAAAATTCAACAAATTTTCAACAAAAAATATGTAAATTATTCTTACAATCAGAAATTAAGTACAAATCTTCCAAGAATATGATAAAAAATATCTTTTAATTATATTTTTGCCTGTAAATATTGTACATTATATACAAAATCAGAAAGAAAATGAAATTAGTTTTTATCAATAGTCTAGGAAAAAATCAGCAAAATTTTTCCATTAAAAGTTCAAAAAGGTTACTTGAATTATACTTTGTATACTTTTTATACTTGAGTCTATTTTTGCATTTTCAACAACACTTTTTACTTCTTGTTTTCTAAATTTACTTTCCTTCTTTTTCCTTTTTTTCTTTTTCTTCTTTATATTTTTCTTTATATATTTTTTTCTTTTTCTTTTTTCTTTTCAATTAATTCGTATTTTTTTTTTCTTTTCTTCTTTCTATCTCTCTTATTATTATATTTCAAGAAAGAAATCCAATAAAATATATCTTATTCCACCTATTTCTGCATATATTAAACCAAAATCAACCAAAACTTCAATCTATGATTTTTGGAAAAAGTTTGAAATATTCTAATCAATTTTTTTTTATTTCAACCAACTTCAGCAAGTGTATTTGTGGATGCAAATCCCAACAATATTTTGATAAGCATATTTGTAATATTAATAAGAATATTTCAGCAAGTATATTTATGGAAATATTTAAATATTTGCACATATAAAGTATATTGATGACAATTCAGATATGAATATTGATTAATATGATGCAATTCAAAATTTTAATAGGAGTATGATACAATTCAGCAATATTTCAGCAAGCATGTTTGTGGATATATTCGTAATATTGGAATATTTCATATATTAATATTTTGAGTATATTTGTGGATATATTTGTAATATTTGATGCTAATTCAGCAAGTATATTAAATAGCAATATTGATGAATATGATACAATTCAACAAGTATATCTATAGATTTATTTGTAATATTGGAATACTTCAATATATATTAATATATTAATGAAAATTCAGCAATATTTTGATAGGAATTTGGTTCATTCAACAATATTTTGGTAAGTAATTTAATAAATTTTATTTCAATTTTGGTCAGAATTTTAACTACGCATTTTCTTTCCTATTTTGGTAGCAAATTCAGTATAGTACGATTTTTCAATTTAGTATTTATAGAAAAAAAAAACCAAAGTATAGTATAATCAATCCTAACATAACCTTAAATCAATCTAACCCCTAATCTATAATCCTAAATTTTATTATAAACGCCATCTTTAATAAAATTGTAAAATAACAACGTACTAAGATAATTCCAATCGTACTATATTAAATTCGTAATCTAATTTCTGATTAACTAAATTTATTTACCATTTTCTTTTTTCTGATTGTTCATTAGAATTTTGCTTACTATTTTCTTTTCGATTTTTTGGATTTTTTGCCAATTGGCAGTACCAGTGATAGTAACGATCAATATGAAGAAAAGATAAAAATTTACAAAAAGAATTATTGTTATCTTGTCGCATTAGGTGTGATACAATAATTATGATTCAAGGATAAAACCTGTGATACAATAATAAATCTGCAAAATATTGTTACCGACTCAAATCAGCCCATAAGCTGAACAACAAAAAATTAAAATATAACTTAGAAAGAGATATGACAAAATTTAAATTAACAGAAAAAGATAAAGAAATAAGAGAAAAGACTAACATTCGTGGCAAAATTAAAGATGTTATTCACTTCTCTACAGAAGACAACAAAAAATATGCAATAGTAGTTAATAAAGTTTATAAATTATATGCTATCAGACTTGTTAATTATGAAGACAGTACAAATGAGGTAAAAGTAAAAGCAATCAAAAGGTTTCCTGATTTAATGAATTTTTACCAAACAAAGGAAATAGCCATGGAAGCAGCCGAAGAAATCCAAGTAAATCCAAAATTAATCGATCAATGTGTATACGAATTTGAAACGTATGAAGATGATGTAGAAAACAACATATTCTTGATTGGTAGAACTGGTAGTGGCAAATCTACCTTAGCTAATGTAATTAGTGGTGGCGACAAATTTGGAGAAAGCGACGGTTCAGTTAGTAAAACTAAAAATTTCCAAAGCGAAGACTTTAAGCATGAAGGAATTAAACATCGAGTTATTGATACCATCGGAGTTGGTGACACCAATTTGTCCCCTGAGAAAGTTGTATTCAAGCTTGCTGAAGCTATTTACACAATGAAAAGAGGAATAAAACAAGTTTTTGTAGTATTAGGGGGAAGGTTTACTGAAGAAGAAAGGGAACTATTTGTTATGGCTGAGAAAATCTTTGGAAGAAGAATTATTGAACATACAACTATTGTGAGAAACAGGTTTGAAGGCTTTGAAAATTCTGAGAAATGTGATAAAGATAGAAAAGAATTGAGTAGAGAAAATAAGCAAATTACTGACTTGATTAAAAGTTGTGGGGGTATTATATATGTAAACAATCCCCCACTAAGTGAAAGTGAAAAAAGACGAAAAATTGATGAGGAAGATAGAGAAAGTTCACGAAAAAAATTGTTAGAACACTTACAGTCTTGCCACGGAACTTACAGAATGGAAAATTGGGATGATATGTGCGTTGGAATTAATGACTACATGAATGCCAAAAACTTAAAAGAAAGAGGTGGAAATACAAACTTATTTTTTGAAACACGAAATAAAATTGAAATAAATAATATAAAAAATGAAATTATTGAAGAAATTAAGAATCAATCACTCAGGTCAGATGATAGTGAAGCGCATTGCTTTACTAAACTAAATTCTTTCGCGTTTAATGCTGATTTAACATTCAAAGTGAAAAATATTTGCTCAATTCAATGATGATATTTTAAACCCCTTTTATAGTTATGAATAGAAATATTATAAAATTTTATCATTATATTTTCTATCTCTATGTACAGTATATTCTCTCTACATTAATAATATTTATTATTTAATATATATAAGACTACTCAATTTTCAGGTTAATCTTTGAGCAAATTTCTAGGAAATTAAATTTATTGACATATATTCGTTTGGAGTGGCGAACATTCCGATCATTCTTTTATTATAATAAATTAATTTTTTATCGCTCGGTTATTTTAGTAAAACTTGTTTTTACTCGAGACACAAATATTTTTATGAACCCAAAAAGGAGTAATTACCAATACTAATTTAATGAGTATTAATAAATTCTCAGTTGTAATCTACAAATACTAAATTTCAAAGGCAATCACAATTGAATAGTAAAAATAATAACTCTCTATGATGATCATAAAATATATAAGAAAAAGCATTTATTTTCCTAAAGCCTAGGGTGCCTTGCTCTCCTTTCTATTTTCTTCCATATATAATTTATCATATGGGTCAATTGCTATGATGTGATTACTGAATGTGATTACTGATATGGTAAATTCATGATTTATTATTACAATACAACCCTTGCTATAATCACACCTCGTGACCAGAAAATTCTGTGATTATAGCAAATTTTGACTATATAAAAAAAATACCTTACTGTATTCACTTTATATGCATAGTTAGTTAAAATTTGTTTTTGTGATTATAGCAAATAAATTTATTATTATTATATTATTATTTTCATCAATATTCATAAAAACACTTCTCCTTTACTATATGTAGCTAACATAACTGTCAAGCTATTTTTATCCTAAAAAAATATAGTTAATTTTAATATTATTTTCTTAATAAAAAAATGGGTTCTCACCTTTTTCTTTCCTAAAACTGGTTTAGTTGATAAAGTTTGATTAGATTCCATACAAAGAAACAAGCTTGTTTCATCAACATTGAATACATTTTCTGGTCTGTATTTTTGAAATTAAATTTTTTAATTGAATTCTTGCATTAAGTAATTATTCTAGTGCACTATTTACCTCTCCATCATCAGGAAATTTTAATAGGCAAAAAATTGTGCAAATTTTCACTTCTCAGATTTTTGCAAATTTCTAACACCTTCGGAGATTTGTGCAAAAAAATTTTGTGAAAATTGAAATTAATATATATATATTTGATACAATGGATAATTTTAAATTGAAAACAAAATGAATTTACAACTGACTACTAAACAACAACAAAAATTAATAAATATCCATCAAAGTTTCCAACCAAATCCTAATGTGAATATACAATTTAATCCTGGAACAATTAAAGTAAAAGTAAATAACTATGAAACAACTGTAGTAATTCCTAAAACAAAAACCAAGAAGAAACCAATGAGTAAATACATTGAAGATGCATTTGATACAGAATATGAACTTGATCAAATTGTTAATAATGAAGAAAATTTTGACACTCTTCTGAGATTTATAATTGATTCAAGTAAATCTAATGGTCAGAAAATACAAGCTTACTTCAAAGTTTGAAACCAAGTATCTCAAAAGGTTAAAGATGAAAGAATAACCACAAATCAGATTAAAAGAGATATCTGGAATAAAATTCAAAGAAATGGAACTTGTTTCTTAAGAATTGTTCAAAAATCCAATAAAATAACTGAAGTTGTAGGAGAGTTCCTATCTCAAAGATTTGAACATATTACTTTCACTTGGCTAAGTTATAATAAAAATAAAGAGTTTGAAAACTTTTTAATTAAACTTAAAGTTAAGTATAAGCAAGATATTGAACTTCTTGCAAAAGCTCAAGAGTAAAGAAGGAAATGTTGTGACACCTCAAATAATTATTTTTATCTTTTGTTTATTTTTATCTTCTTTATTTGTATTATTTATAAATATAATTAATTTTGTAAATTAGTGGTACAAATTAGAAGTGCTACATTTAAGGATTATTATTGTTAATTTACTCAGGTATATACCTAGGTATGATACCTAGGAAATATTCAGGTAGAATACCTGAGGATAAATAATGAAATTACTTTTAATAATATTATTTATATTGTTTATAAAGAACCAATCTAGTGTAGAAGATAATATAGTTTGTCTGCAGTACAAAGGGTGTTAAAAAAATATAAATACAGGTCTCTTTAGCTTGGGTTTTTCATCAATTAGTTAATTAGTTCAGTTCAGTTTAAATAGTTCTCAAGTTTTATATAATATCCAAACAGTTTCCTGATTTATTCTTCTAATAAATATTATTTTTTTTATCATTCTTATATACTTATCTTTCATTATTTATTATTATATATCTTATCCATTTTTTATATTTTCTTGTATTTATTTTAATAAAGCTAAAATAAAGTTATTATATAATTTATTGACTTTGAATCTTTTACACTGTTACCTTTGATTTTACCTTACTTTTATTAATTATTTATATATTTTATTATTATATATTTTATATCATATATTTATTATTTTATCTATTATTTATTTCTTATTATTATATATAGTATTACAGTAGATCAATTTATTAGGCTGCAGTTCAAATTAAATATTATTATTTAAATTAGTAGATTTCTAAAATGTATCAAAAGGAACTCTTCCCATTGATCACTTGTACCAAATATTCTCACAGTAGAGAAATACATTTTTTCACTGTAGTTACATATAAAACTTAGTTATTTTTCTACCTTTTTACTCGTATGGGTAAGAAAAAACATAAATACAATACCAGAAGTGTTTCTGGTCAACAGAATGATAAAAACAACTATACTTGCATGCAAAATTATTTTGGAGCCCTGAAATTGTAATTTCGAGAAAAATAGTTGAAATAGTTTTTCATAGAAGACAAAATTATTTTACTTAAAACCCAAAATTTTTTGACCACCCAGATTTATTCT